TAATGAACATGATAATTTGATCTAGAAAAAATTCTTCCGCCCCCCCCCCTTTCTTGTTTTTTCTTTTTGTATTTACCTAATTTTATAAAAAATTTGCTGTAATTGTTAAAAAAAATTACCATTTTTTGATTATTGATTGTACAGAATTTATTAAATCTAAAAATTAAAACAAAAAAAACAAAACAGTAATTCAATTACTGTCATTATCTTTCATTACTTTGTACTACAGTCGAAATGTAAAATATTCGTCTAAGATCTTTAATACTATTCTAAATAACTTTATTATTACTTACAAAGCCTATGACTTAAGACAATATTAAAGTGATTCACACAGAATCCATATATATATATATACCAGTAAGAGACTAATCAATTGCATTACGAAATATTAATGGGAAGATTCAATTAAAACAATACCAATTAAATTTAAAACATTATTATTATTATTTCACAGAAATTTGTTAATTTCAATAGATGAAATCATGAGTCAATTGAAGCTAGACCATCATGGAAAATCTGGAAGCAATGAACGGCCATTTCGTCCCATTATGAGACTTCTCAGCAGTGAGCATTCACGATCCCGTACAAGATTCTCATACTAGGACGAAACGACCATCCAGTGCTTTCAGATTTTCCCTCGTGGTCTAACATCAATTGTCTCGTGATTTCAACTAATGAAATTACTAAAATCTTCACAAAATCCCTTCTGAAAAATTTGTTTTGTTTAACCAATAATAAATATTATTTTTAAATAAATTAAATAATTGCCAAATTAAAAGATAAAATAGAATGATTTCATTAATAATTCAATTATTCATCTAATCTAACTATTAGTTGCATTTCATTGTTTTAAGTTGTTAAATATTCTATGAAATATCTATTAAATGAATAATAGATTTAAAGTTATGCTCATTGGATTGAATGTAGATAGACAGATGATAAGTTTAAATATAATAGTATTAGATAAACAATCAATCAATTTGTATACAATGAATACTTAACAACATATAACATCCTTCTTTTTTTAGTGTTTATTCTATTTACCGTCAATGAATCATTTTTTATCTTATATAGAATATAATTATTGTTTTTTAATAAATAGTTAAATAGAAACAACACATCGATTATTTAGTGTTTAGAGACAGTTATCAGGATCTAATGATCATATGATCACTTCATCGATATATTTCAACTAACTCTATAGCCTAGACATAATATTGATTACGATCAAATGATCAACAAAGTATATGATATACTATTTAATCCCAATATCTAACAATCTATCTAGAAAATATACAGAAACAAATGAGTTTATATGAAATCATTAATAATATTAATGTAATATTAAATATGTATAATTTAAATGGAAAGTTTCCATTATTATTCTAATTATATAATATATAATTTACATATTAATTTGGTTTTATTGTTAAACTAGAATAGAACTAAGAGTTCACTGACGGTCTTAACACCTGTTGTTAAGATAAATTATGATGACTAGTAATTAGGAAACAGATGATATTAAATAACTGTTTATGAGATCATTAGTAATAATGATATTTAGGCATTCAAATGAAAGCATAACATTATGTCTTAAATTACTTAAAATATAACTATTGATGTTGTAACACTTATAATTAAAATCTATTAAATATCTATTGAAGGAATATATCTAATAAGAAACATTAGTCTTTCATACATTTCTTTTTTGAGGAAAATCTTACATCTAGTTTATGATGTCCTTATTCATAACAAATAACAGTTTGATATAACACACATCTCAAAATTAAGTTACTGTCAGTATATTCTTAATTACTCTCATTATTCTTTGTGTTGAAAGTCATATTTGGGGTTACTTTCATATGTAACTTGCTTTATATCGACTAAGACACCATTTTAAACTAACGACCCTACAGATATCTGCTTCATCTTGGTATGCAACTTCTCATCAGTGCGTATCCACTATCATACTAGGTCTCAAATGCAAAGCCTTTTGATCATGTAGCGTGAGCCCTCTAAGCATGGAATTACGATCAAATCATGACATAGTGCAAAAATCATTCAATACTATTTGTAATCATTATGTCACGACAGGAACTAGCTTTATATAAAAATACAAATAAAAGAAAATTTATCATTCTCTCTATATATATTTTATTAAAAAGTCATTTCCTTATCATAGGCATATTTATGTACTTTTATTAATAGACAAAATATTAAATAGTCTCCCCCCCCCCAAAAAAAAGAAAATAACAACACATCTACAATAATAATAATAATAGTACAATAATACTTGAATTACTACAAAAAATTCATTTAAAGCAACAAACAATTCATATATATCCGCTAGTAGTTAGTTCATTTAGGTTAAAGTCAACCTTAAAAGGGGTTGATTAAGAATTCACCAGAGAAATAAACTATTTCTACCACTACTTACCAATCATCTATAGTAGTAATTATAGTATTAGTTTAAAACAATGTATATACTGATCAAAACATACTGTTTTTCATGAATTAAATTAAAGATGAGAAAATGATCAAAGAGATTTGCCGACAACTTATTCAAAGCCTATAGTCTGCCCTCCTGAAACAATTGCCTTTCAACCCCTAGTTTTCTTCTATAAAAAAAATAATAATCAACCTACACTATCTCAATATTTATACTTACTTGTATGAATATAATTTCTATGACTGTCATTATAATTAATAGTATTATTCATAATCAAATCATTAATGCTAACTCTCGTAACCAATGACTCAAAAGAACAATTCAAAAACAGAATGATTTCAATGATTAAGTTCATTGCTTATTCGGTTATATACGTAAAGAGCTAGTAATTGTATTACTGTATATTAAGTTATAAATTACTTAACAAAACATTTGTAATTAATTATATTGTTATATTTTATTAAAATCTCCATATTATTAACATAGAAAATGAATAATATTCAGTTAGTAACTAAATTTCAGGAAATAATTTGTACTTTTAATTGAATATATATTTTCGTATCATCTTCTGTATTACGTAATATATATATATCATATGGAAGCTACACAGGAATACTAGGTATCTCTGATATATAATAAAAGTCAGTAATTCGTTGGTTAATTAGTGTTCATTTAAAGTTAGTAATAGATGATAAAATGTGATGAAGTTATGAGTATATGTCAATTAATATACATATTAGACTAGTCACTTCATACTTAGTTTTTAAATTCGTTGTTATCAGAACATGTTAATATATAGAAAAAAAGGCATGTTAAACTGTAATATCCGACAACTTAAGTTGTATGATGATGTGTAAACTTGTTTGATCAAGATTAACTAGGTACATTAGTTGGCACATCCAAAAATTATAAAGGGATTAATGCAAATTCAATAAATTGTTTTATCATTTTATCACATCAAAACAATTGAACATTATATTGTCCTATTCCAGTTGTTTTTCTTTTATGTTTACTCTTGCTAAAATCACTTCTTCTATACCGACGAGAGTTATGTTAATAATTAAACAGTAATAAATGGTCGTTTCAAACAATTAGTTATGTATTTTATCATCAAACAACTATATTAAATAATTTTTCGTTGTATTTTACTAATCCTAATATAACTAATTTTAATATTTAAATCAATTTAAAGATTGAGGATAATCTACTGAAAAAAAACAGTAGTTTTCATGTATGTATTCTGTTCTGACTCGCCTAAGACTAAGATCTGACTGATAAAACCCATAAAAGTTCATTTGGATACGCTTAGAATTGAAGTTTGTCATTGTGAATGAGTCATAAATTACTTCTACCCAACTGTAAATCACAAATTTGTACGTAATTGTTTGTAATAAATTACTTAACCATATAAATTAATATGTATCCACTTTTATTACATCAATCAACAAAAGTTTAGTCATTCCTATGCTATTACTTACCTATTTAAAGATAATGAAATTTAGTGTTTTGATTTATAATAAACGAAGGTTATTTGACTGCAAAGTTATAGAATTTATTTTTGCCTACTTATAACTTGTAAGTAGCCAAAATATAAAAAATATTTCTACTGGAGTATGATAGCAAAGAGATGTATGCACAGTTACTTATACCACTGTCTTTATTTCAATTTGTCTTTTATACTGAATGTTACAAACTTTCTATATCTGGGGTGGAAAATCTTTACGCCACCAGCACTTAGTAACTATCGTGTAATAGAAACAACATTATGAAGGCTCGTTTATATGAATTTTGTGGAAACATCTTAGCAATATGATTAGCCTCTAAATTTACCAATATGCCTATTTAAAGATAAAGAAAATGATTTTTTCAAAATTGAGTTTAAAGTTTATACATTAATTTAGTAAGCATTAAATAATGTCCATGAGTAATTTTCATTAGAACATTATTTATTCAATTCAACAGTTTTAAAACCTAAACATTACTAAATTTTCTAGTTTAATGTGAAAAATTGATTGAATTCTAGGGTTTGGGAGTTCACAAAAGATTCGTGTGATAATAATCGCTTTAAAAAATAGGGTATCTGTAAAGAGTTCTCATACCAAATTCTAATTCGTATCATACGGTGAAATCAAATGGTGAATTACTGAAACCAGAGAATACTTGACACGCTACATATCACGCTAGCTTGAGACTTGTCAACAATGATCCTAAACAGAGAAGAACATAAAAATTTCTGAGGCCATGACAAATATTGCTCATTTAACCCATCTACTTGCAATTGAAATTTTAAGTTTACAGCTTCATTTAATTTTAATATTTTATGATCATCTAAATGAAATTTCTATAACCCAATCAAAACTAATCGGTTTAAGTGCACTAGAAAATCTGCTGTCGATTAAGATTCATTCAAGTTGGATCACAAATATTTCAGTGTTTACTTTAACAAGTATTATTTCCTCTCAAAAAGCTTTTACCAAATAACGCACAACCATTTTCCAATTTATCATGACAGTAGTAATTAAATTTAAAATCTGTGTATTATTTATTTCAGGAAACTTGTGACGACCCATTAAAAGAATTTGTATCTCCTGTACGTGGTATACCACGTTGTTGTCGTAAATGTGAACCCGGCAATGGTATGTTACGTTTATGCTCAAATGCAGAAGATACACAATGCCGACCATGTAAACCAGGTTTTGAATTTTCGCCTTTTAGAAGTGCAACAAAAAAATGTTTGCACTGTCGACGTTGTGAAGAGGTTAGTGAATAGATAATAAGATTAATAATCATAGATACTCTTTTGTTTAAGTATTCCTTATTGTATTAGAATTTCAATTCTCAGTAGAGTGTTTTATATTCACAACATTACTGAAAAGTTCTATTCTATGAAGTTTATCAACTTCGTATAAGCTTTTACTTTCACTTTATGTGTACAGCATACCAATCCGAGTTATAGGTGTATATATGTGAAGGTTCCTACGGAATACATAAATTAAGGAGTATATGAACAAACAATAATAACTTAGTCATCCTCGATTATAGGTCTACAATTATTTTATTATGATGAATATCAAGAATTTATGTCTTACTTTTTCATATTCTCTTTTTAGGTTCATCCATTAGCGAAAACACGTAATGAATGCACTCCCATAACAGACACAATATGTCAATGTGAAAAACCATACTATATGTCAGAAAAAGAACAAACATGCAAACCATGCACTGTTTGTAAACCTGGTGAAGGTATAGTACAGTAAGTTTAGGTTTATAATGTTATCCTACTTATTAATTATCTAGTAGCATAAATTTGTTAAATAAAAAAATCACCAAGATTCACTACTAGCTCATTGTATAGATGTTTTTACATAAAAATCTATACAAGACATATAGAAATCAGAAATTCACTGTTAATGATCATTACTTATTCACATAAAAGACAAAAAACGTTATATTTAATGTCTAGTATTTTAGTATTCATCTGCTTCGGTATATATATAAACACTTACAAACATTAATGTTTCTTTGATCTTGATAGAAATCACTTACTTTTTCGTATATAAAAAGTTTTACGTGTTACGCTACTTATTGATATTATTATTATTATCTACAAATATAGTGATGTGTGAATAAATGTGAAGTGTTTTGTTTTACGCAAAATACACTTTCGGCTTTAATAACCTAAATAGCATTACTACACTATATGCCTTTTATGTATGCATAGTTCAATTTTTTTTCTTTCTATCTAATGTACATGTGTAAATTATCCAAACACAAATGGTTATGTGAAGTAGGAATTTCATGAACAGCTGTAATGATATCAGTAGGTGCTATGAAGTTATTTTTATTATTTTTTTTAAATAAAAACAGTAATTCAAGTTCATTCTAATGTGAATATGAAATCATGGGAATTGCATAGAAATGAAGACTTTTATCGTTGAAAGTTATTCAACATGAATTACGAAAATGAATACAAGCATATATATATATTGAATAAGAACTTTTGTCTAAATCTGGTGGAATAGTTTCACCTTATTTTGGCGCCGAATTGATGTGAGACATTAAAGAGGAAGAATGTATTTGTAAAATCTCAGAGAATGAATTTGAAGTAAATCTATCGTATCGTCTGGTAATCTAGTCCAAGCTTTTTCAAGAAAATATAATCAAACATCAAAATTATCGAATATGTTTGATTATATTTTCTTGAAAAAGCTTGGACTAGATTACCAGACGATACGATAGATTTACTTCAAATTCATTCTCTGAGATTTTACAAATACATTCTTCCTCTCTTTATATATACATATTAGTTTTAAGAGATTTTACAAATGTGTTCAGTTCCTAAGCAACTAGACCTATGAATATTTTATCATTAAATCAGACAATCTGAAAGATTTAAACTTGAACTTGACATTTACATGAATGAATTTAAACTTCTTTAATTAAATTACTTTTAAACATAATTTTCGTTCAATTTAGTTTCATTTAAACAAAACAGAGAATAGTTTATATGGTAACTGATTTGTAAAGTATTCCACATGGTTTATTTATGTAGAACACAATATGAACGATTAGATTATAAAAATAACTTGATTGGTTTAATTGGAATTTCGATATTAATAAACTTCTTCAATTGAGTATCTTTATACAAATAATAAACCATTTAAACCATATAGATAATTTGGTAAAGAAGTGATCAGATAAAAAAAGAATAAGGCCTTTTCATTTGATCAGTGTGTATCCTTTCAACTTCAACTATGAATGGTTATATTAATCATTTTAATAATAAAGGATATGATATAATATCTGAAGTGATAAAGGTTTAATCACTAGAATGAAACGGTCATCCAGTGCTTCCAGATTTTCAGTGATCATCTAATACTGATTGATTCATAATCTCAATCAAAAACAACTGAAATAAATCGAATTTATGAGGTTAAACAAAGAGACAATTAAAATAGATATATGGCTAGTCGTGTAACAAGTAGTAATAAACCCAATGTTGGCAAAATAATCTGTTAGTCATTTATGAATAAATTCTATATTAAATGTATTGTGATGATGTTGTCTAACAGGATAATTAAAGTTTAGAGAATTGAACACTATAATCATCCTTTAGAAATACAAATTGACGAGTTGTCTAATTAAACTTATTGATTACATAATTTCGAGATATTTCAGTTAATAGAGCTGAATTAACTGAATTGATGCGTGCGAATTCGTTGAAGTCAGCACTTTCCAGTGAATTTTGTTGTTAAACTTGTTTTTTTTTATTACTGTAATAAGTTTTGGCTGAATGATGATATTAAAACGCTAATTAATTAAGCTTGACTCTGCAAATAACTTCAGTAATTTTGTTTTAGATCTATATTTTACCAAAATGATTCCATTTGATTTATTTTCCCAATTACATAGTAAGATTCAATTTTGACAATCTTCACTTAAATAGTTTCTTATTATTATTACGATCATTTCTTTAAGGGCATGTGGTTGGAATTCCGATACACAATGTCAATCATGTCCGGCTGGTTTCTGGTCTGCACAAAGTATTGATAATGTAAAGTGTATACCTTGTCAATCATGTGGAAAAGATCAAGTTTTAGTAAAAGAATGTTCATCAACATCAGATACTCTTTGCTGTCCATTAAATAATCCCAACTGCACACATGAATTGTCAATGTATTTCGGTAAGATAATAATAACAATCTAATATAAAATTTATAACATAATAATTCATGTAGAAATTATTTATTATTTTCCTATTTCAGTATGACGTTAATAATAAAACCAATGTTAAATAGTACATTAATTACGATTTATTTCATTTAACTGTTTTAACAAAAAAATTTCAACAGTTGAATTCATGAGTCGATGTAAGCTAGACCACCGTTAAAAACCTGGAAATACTGGACGGCCGTTTCGTTCTATTATGAGAGCCCTCAGTAGTGCATAACCGCAACCCCACATGCGAGACTCGAACCCAGGACTTTCGGTTTCTCACGAGAACGCAAGATCCGTGATCTTGCGAAGACATTCATTCATTGTCTAAGGTAGATACCTGCCTCTACCGGACACGTATTGAGCTCCATTGGTCGCAGCTTCTCATTAGAAAAAATTTTATTCAATATCTGTATTATTCTACCGAACATAATCCACAGAAACCAAATAACAATTTGTGAATAATTATTATGCATTATAAATTATATCTTAGTATAGCTGAGTATTAATAAACTGTGGATTTCTGGTGAATCTATCGGTAGTCATAGAATCATATTATTGTAAGACTCAAAACTCTCATATTTCACAGTCCATATGATCATGACTTCTTATTCTTAATTATTCTTAAGTCAGAACAAAAACGTTGTACTAATGGCTCTTGGTTTTGTAATATTCGGTAAGCGATTTGAGTTAATAACGCAAAATATCTTCATTAAAACCCTCTTTCGTCTTGATTAAATATGCTTCTCGTTTAATCAATTCTAATGATTAATTAACTCAATTATATGTCTTCTCTATAGTTTTCAATAGGGATAAAACTAAGAATAACTTTCCACTATATATATATATATATATATATATATATATATATATATATATATATACGCGACTAGAGGGAGAAACGTTTTCAGCATTAAATCAATGTCAAATCAATAATTCATAAGTCATTGGTCTGAGTCCGACCACCAATACAATTTCTTTGAATTTTGTCGGACATTCCTATCTATATATACTTACATACATATTTTTTTCACAGCTTTTAACATAAAAAGAAATTTTCGGCTTTTCGAAAGTTCTTTGAAGTAAATCATTATACTAATGTAAGGAAGTACTTTGAGAGAGAGAGAGAGAAAAAAAAAGAATAATTATAACTGGTGAGTGTACACACAGTAGAAAACACGAATAATAACAACAGCAAAATAATAAAGGGAAAACAGCAATGACCTTTGATGTAAGTTGATGAAAAAAGAGGAACTCTTTGTAAAATACTTTTTCTTTACCTCTCATTGTGTGATGGCTACTTTACCGTGCAGTCATGTTCATGCCATGATAATTATGAACAACGTTAATATCAGCTTATTATTGACCATTATTTCCTTCTAAATTATGTGTACAAAACGCATATAAATTTAGTCTATATATATATACCATGAATATGTATGTAATTTATGTTCTGCCTATTTTCTACATTTTAGTCAACTGTTGGTTATTTACACAATTTTACGTTATTTGAAATTGTTATAGTTTTTCATTTGGTTTATTTTTTTTTCTACCTTTTATTCTTGTTACGGTTAGTGATGTTGTTTTTATTATTATTATCGTTTTGTCGGGAATAATCTTTGAAGTTTCGCATACACACTTAATGCGCCATCAAATAAATCATCAAATGACCGTGTAGCCGGAACCATTTCCTTTTTGTTAAACAATAATAATAATAATAGTCATCGTAATATATTTCACATTTAAGTGCATTTTTATACATCAATGGATAGACGTTTTATATCTATTTCTATGTAGAATAAATGAATGAATGAATGAATGAATAGTTCTATATGTATATGTCTGTAATATGTATGTACATTTGTATATGTGGATGAACTATATGATTATTAATTCAGTACATTGTTGTACGTTAGTTACTTAAAAATTCATTTAACAAAGTGTATTTGGACAAAATGAAGTCATAAATTCATGTATATCTCTATATATCTGAACTTAGATTGGTGTGTGTGTGTGTTGTGTTATCTCTCTGTCTCTAAACAAAAAAAAACACATGTAGATACAGTGTTGTTATGTGCTTATAAATTTATTCATGAATCTTATTGCAACAAAAATATTTAAAAAAAATACTATAATAAAATCAAAAATAATCATTTACTATGGAAAAAGGGGATTCTTTGAATATTATGCCAAAATTATTTCAAATAAATAATAATGTGAAGATTGAAAAATTGAGCTTATGCTAGAACAGTAAAACAAAGTATATATATATATATGTATATATAAAGACAATAAAGATGATATATGTATACGTATATAAATCTAACTATATAGACAAAATCAAAGAAGCTACTAGAATTTAACCGACAAGATTTATGGTTAAGCAATAAGATTGAAATAAAAACACATGGAAAAAGAAAAATAAAGAAAAAAATTCTTTTCTTTATTCAGACTAAAAATGGTTTTAAAATACATACACATACACACATACAAAAAACAAACAATATAAGAAAGAGAATGGTAACTAATCTTTAGAAATCCGATCTTTGATTTTATATAAATATAAGGTTAATAATAATAATAATTTTGAATTCCTTTTTCTTTTTTACTTCAATGAAACAATGTATTTCCATAAGGTGGAGGATGATAGTGGCGCTTATTTAAATGAATGATTTACAATACTAGCATAACATTATGTTTGGTAGTAGTGATAGTAGTTAAAATTAAAATCATAAATATTATCGACAAATTACTAGGAAAGCTTAAAGAGATAAACAAATGGAAAACTTCATTCAATTTTCCAATTAAAATAATGAGGAATTAATTCTTTTTCTTTTCCAAGAAGAAACTTATTTCATCTTTCTAAAAGTACTTGTTTCGGTAAAAAAAAAATTTAATTTGGTGATTAGTTAACTCATATTTATTGCTATTGTTGTCGTTGATGATTTAAAATTGAAATATTTTTCATCTTTTTATTTCACTTCTGCCTCTGTTGCAAAATCATTTGGACCATATTGCGAATCAAGCAGCACTGGATAGTTATTCTATTTTTTTGGCTTTATAAGCCTAATATGTTGTGCACACGTACTTTCAGCTCTTGAGTTTAATCACTTAGATCATTGAACTACGACACATAGAGTATTGAATTCAACCTTGCATAACATTTTAAATGAAAAGTTCTTGAAAATTCAGTTTAGGATGAAACCTTATCTGGGGCTCCTCTGAATGTTCTTTAATTCCCTAGTTTGTTATCCAAAAAAACCCATATGAAAACTAAATTACCCTGATTTTATTTCTCCAAAAATTGTTAGCATATACATAGCTATTCATGTATTTTCTACAAAATTTTTACCATTAACCGATATCATCTGGAGAAATATGAAAGATTAGCGAGTACTGAACAGCTATTTTTTTCAAAATAATTCATTATTTTTAATTCATTTTATCAAGCACAAGTTTCGTATACCTACTTTTTAAACCTTAGATTAATGCGGTATGGTTATAGAAACTACTACCACTGCTACTATCTAAATACCGAATCCGACAAAGATGCAACAGAGGTCGAATTTACAACCCAATAGTTAAAAGTCAAGTTCTTTTTTACTGTGAAACTACAATTCGAAATATTTATTGAAATAGATTATATGTATCTCGATATATCGATGCATAAATAACTTTCAACTGGTAGTACATTCATCGAACTATTCATTTCTTAGAAATAAAAAGGATAGTTCCTTTTATTTTGCGTCCATACCGTGTGGAAGATTTTTTTCTATATTTCTTTCATTATTTTATTTCTTTACCTCACTGTAAAATGTTTTCGTGATGAATCACCTGCTTAGAAATAGAATAAAGTGAAAAATACACCTTTATCTGTATCGCAAAAAGAGAAGGAGGTTAATATAGATAGTATAATAAACATATGTACTATATATATATATATATATATATATATATATATATATATATATATATATATATATATATATATATATATATATATAATTCGTGATATCTCATAACAGGAGCCGACATATTCACTGTTATCCTGCTTAGATTGTCTTTAATTAAGACCAGTATAGAAACAGATTAAATTTCACTTATTCACGATGTTCGGATGTAATTTTAGGTTTGCTTGTTCTCTTATCTGTTATCTTCTTTCCATAGTTTTTTTGTTGTTAAGAAAAATTATTATTTTACGTTCTAATCAGGAGTAAAATTCAATTAAGAAAAGAAACAATCACCTATTTATTGACCAATTTAAAGAATTTGTACGCCATTATTATCGTTGATATTATTATTACTGTTAATGATTGTCAATATTTGGCTTTGTGTTTGTCTGTCTATTTGTCCCTTGGATGCAATGAAACAAGCATAAATGTATATCCATATATATGTAACATATTTTTACAAAATCTAAAATGAAAATATGCATGAGACCAAGTAATGGATCAAATATAAATTGCATGAACTTTTCAGATTGAAATAAGCGGAATAAACTAAAAAATTTTGATACAACTGCTAAGAAATGAATAATGTAGGTAGTTTTTTAATGATCAATCGGATAACCTACTGAATGGCTGTTTTATCCTAGTCTTAAACTTTTATTTAATATGAGCTTATAACTTTCAGGTATTGTAAAGAGTTTAATTAAATTCAGTTATAATTACAAACATACCCTACAAAAGAGTTATTTTACATTGATTACCAAGAGAACTAGACACTGTTCAGGCTTATCACAGTTTGAACAGCATAACTCAACCTTGTGATGAAGAACCCTGAGGGATTATTTGAAATTTACCAACCGAAATTCCCAACTTTAGATAATTAGTGATGTGAATAGAGACACAATTCTATACGATTAAAAAAAAACTTATTTACTAAATTGAAGTTTAAGAACTCAGATTTAAGCCACTGTATGTATGTGAGGGTCAGTGTGATGTCACCTGGTTGCACATATTGCATTATG